CAGCAGTGGCTTGGGCCGTGGCCGCAATCCGCTCAGTTTCAGCGATAGCAGCACGAAGGCCATCAGCATAGGGGTCAGAGGAGGTAGAGGTAGGTGCAGAGGCAGGTTTAGGAATGGCGCCAGAGCCACTCTGCTGAGTGACAAACCAGAGGTTAAAGCCACTCACGAGGGTGCCAGACAGCGTGCGCTCAAGACAGTTCAGCCAACTGGGGAAGTTGACTGCGCTGCCATCAGGCGCGAGCTGAAGGACCAGCAGAGGGAGGGAGGGGAGGGCGAGAGAAGTCGCCATAAGGAGGAGGAGACAGCTGCAGAGCAGATGAGGGGAGAGGTATAGAAGGCGGAGGAATAAGGGCGAAGCAGTCTGCTGCTGAGCCGCTGAGGGGAGAAACAAGAGGAGGAGGGATATTGGCGGAGTAGTCTGCTGCTGCGCCGCTGAGGGGAGAAACTAGAGGAGGAGGGATAGTGGCGGAGTAGTCTGCTGCTGCGCCGCTGAGGGGAGAAACTAGAGGAGGAGGGATAGTGGCGGAGTAGTCTGCTGCTGCGCCGCTGAGGGGAGAAACTAGAGGAGGAGGGATAGTGGCGGAGTAGTCTGCTGCTGCGCCGCTGAGGGGAGAAATAAGAGGAGGAGGGATAGTGGCGGAGTAGTCTGCTGCTGCGCCGCTGAGGGGAGAAATAAGAGGAGGAGGGATAGCGGCGAGATAGTCAGCTGCTGGGCCGCTGAACGGAGAAACAAGAGGAGGAGGGAGAGTTGGGAAGGAGTTCGGAGTTAAGCAGTTGAGGGGAGGGTACGGAGGAGGAGGAAAGGTGTGGAGGAGCGACAACTTAAAAAAAAAAAAAAAAAAACGCAATCAGCAACCGGCTGCAGCAGATGACAAGAGAAAAGAGGAGGAGGAAGAGGTGAGGTAGTGAGGGATGCACGAAGGAGAGAGGGAAGGAGGAGGAGGGTGAGGAAGGGGGGGGGCGGATTGGGAAAGGGCAGGGCGCGTCGCATGGGAGGCAGGCGCGCGCGCTGCTCGACGAAGCGAAGCGCGCGCGGCGACGGCAGCGCAATGCACGCGCGACGAGACGGGAGGGCGCGGAGGGGGGGGGGGGGGGGGGGGGGGGGGGGTCGGCTAAGCGCGCTACGGGCAGAAATCAGCGCGCTACCGCCGGGAACGTGAGGAGGAGGAGGCGCGACGAAGAGAGAAGGCGCAGGAGAGCGATTTCGACGGTAGGGAGGCGCGCTACGGAGCGGAATAGAGCATCCGCGTGACTAAAATGAAGAAAATCGTAAGGATGCTGAGAGTTACTCTAAAGAAACGAGAAAATAGAACGAGCAGAAAATCGTCTAGCTAAGTAGCGCGGAAATGGCCTAAGGGCCAGAAAAATTCTAGGAGATACGGACAAAACGGAAACGCCCAGGACTAGGCTCTGAATACCATGTTGAATTAGTAGTAGCCATGGATGGCGAGAGGTTTTGGTGAGGTAGAAGTAGTTCGACTAGTAAGAGAATGTCGAGATACAAAAGAGAGAGGGTTGGAAACCCTAATTGAACCTAGGGTGTGTTCGGTTTGTACTAACAACTATGAAATGAACCTAAAATGAACCTGAGTGCGTAACGCTCTCTAAGCCTAGAGAAATAACAATATAAGAACACCAAAATAAAGGCCAGAGCGAGCTCTAGCCTACTCCAACACTGCTGGTGGAGACGCTGCGGCTGGAGACCCTAGGACTGGAGGTGCTGGTTCTGGGGGTGCTGTTTCTGGGGACACTGAGGTTGGAGACCCTGGGGCTGGAGGTGCCGGTTCTGGGGCTGGAGGTTCTGGAGCTGCTGGAGGTGCTGGAGCTGCTGGAGCTGCTGGAGGTACTGGAGCTGCTGGTGCTGGTGCAGCTGCGCCGACACGACTGTTCTTCGCTCCGCCGTCTCCGTCGTCTCTGCCGCCACCTGACTCTGCTCTTCGTCAGGTTCTTACCCTCCCGTCATCTACTGGTCTTCCGTTACTGCCTGGCTCACCGCTCCCTGCTCCTCCTCCTTACACTGAGCAGCCCGGTGGTCTTGCTGAGCGTCGTGAGCCTGCGTCGCGTCCTGTCTCGCCTGTTCATCCTAGTCGTTCCGGTCGTCGTGTTCCTCGTTCGCGTCAGCCGGCTGTCCCCGGCACACACCTCGTAGTCCGTCGTCCTTCCTCTGCTCCGCAGCTTGTTCCTCTGCCGTCTCCCCCTGCGTCCTCTCTGCCTGACGTTGCGGACCCTGAGTCTGACCGGTTTCGTGCTGAGCACCCTACTGTCACGCGTTTGTTAGCCACTGTTGTCACTGACCCGTCGTTTGAGTCTGCTGCAGCGCCTGCCTTGGTTGGTGAGCTTGTTGACTTTGCTGCTGCTTGTCGTCTAGACTACGCTGCTAGTCTTGTTGCAGAGTCTGAGTCTGTCTGTCCTCCGTCCGTCGGGGGTGAGTGTGCTCTTAGCACGAACGTCCTTGAGGACAGGCACAAGGACCTTGAGTGTCTTGCAGCCGCTGCGCCTCATCTCGTGGCCATGCTGCTTGCCCCTGAGGGAGACCCGGATGCACCAGACATCCCGACCCCGCGCTCTTACGCTGAGGCGATCGCGGGTGAGTACTCCGACGCAGAGATGGCATCCTGGAAGTCCACTGGCACTTACGTCGATGAGGTTCCCCCTCCTGGGGCGTCGATGGCATGTGGGTTTTCAGGGTGAAGCGGCCGCCGGTTTCTCCGTCTGTCTTCAAGGCTCGTTACGTTGCTAGAGGCTTCAGTCAGCGTGAGGGAGTTGACTTCTTCCAGACCTTCTCCCCTACCCCAAAGATGACCACTCTTCGGGTGCTGCTGCACGTTGCCGCTCAGCGTGACTACGAGCTTCACTCTCTTGACTTCAGCACAACCTTCTTACAGGGCAGCCTGCACGAGGAGATCTGGCTGCACCGCCCACCTGGCTTCACTGGGTCGTTCCCTCCTGGTATCCAGTGGAGCCTCCGGCGGCTAGTCTACGGTCTCCGCCAGGCACCTCGTGAGTGGCACGACACACTGGGGACTACACTTGCGGCTCTTGGGTTCGCTCCTTCGACTGCTGACCCGTCGCTGTTTCTGCGCACCGACACTTCACTGCCGCCGTTCTACATCCTCGTGTACGTCGACGACTTGGTCTTTGCTACTGCTGACACTGAGGCTCTCGCTCTGGTGAAGTCGGAGCTGCAGAAGAGACACACGTGCACTGACCTGGGTGAGCTGCGCAGTTACCTTGGCTTGCGGATCACCCGGGACAGAGCACGCCGCACCATCACACTGACTCAGTCACACATGGTGCAGCAGGTCCTTCAGTGCTTCGGCTTCACCTGGTCCTCCCCACAGCCCACTCCGCTGGCTACAGGTCACTCGCTCTCAGCTCCACCTTCGGACGAGTCCGCAGAGTCGAGTGGTCCTTACGCAGAGCTAGTGGGCTGCCTCATGTACCTGATGACCTGCACTCGACCTGACCTCGCGTACCCTCTTGGCCTTTTGGCTCGCTATGTGGCTCCTGGTCGGCACCGAAAGGTGCACATGGATGCTGCAAAGAGGGTACTGCACTACTTGTGCAGTACATCGGGCATGGGGCTCGTGCTTGGAGGACGGAGCGACGTTGTCCTCACTGGACACTCTGACGCGTCTTGGGTTGACGACCAGGCTACGCAGCGGTCGTCACAGGGTTACACCTTCAGCCTTGGCTCTGGCTCTGTTTCGTGGCGGTCCACGCGCTCGTCTTCTGTTCTCAGCTCCAGTTGTGAGGCTGAGATCTACGCCACATCCATGGCTGCACAGGAGTTACGCTGGCTCACATACCTGCTGATTGACTTGGGAGAGAGGCCTCGTTCTCCTCCAGTTCTGTACGTCAACAACAAGGCCGCCATTGCCTTGTGTCAGGAGCACAGACTGGAGCACAGAACGAAGCACATCGCTCTGCGTTACTTCCTGGCTCAAGAGTTGCAGCAGCGAGGCCAGCTTCGTTTTGCTTACATGGCCACTCGGGCCAACACTGCTGATACCGTATGGCCCCGGATATAAGCGCAGGCCTATGATAAGCGCATGCGCTTCTATCTGGAGCACTTCGCTTATGCCCGATCCTCAATTATAGACGCACCCCTTGTAAAACCCTGATTTATTATAAGCGCATGCCTAATTTCGATTTTAAATAATGATTAAAACGGTAACGAAATCCAATTTTACATCGAGGTCACAACCATTTTCGCGTCGATTGACTTTGGCGACATCACTTCCTGCGCGTCGAGTCAGTATGAGCTGGCATTCCAGCAGTCTGACGTGTAACTTTGCCTCTGTGCACCAGCAAAGTATCGACCGCGCGCGATTCTGATCAGTGACGCTCAAAATTTCGATTCGATTGAAGTTGCAAGGAGGAGATGTACAGTTTGGTGCCTTTTAAACATATATGTCTATTAGTCATTTTATAAGCGCATGCGCTTATAAATTTTACTCAATTATATGCGCACCCCCCTAAAAAAACATGTTTTATTATAAGCGCAGGTGCGCTTATATCCGGGGTATTACGGTATATTCACCAAGGCACTTTCGTCTGGTGATCATCAGCGCTTTTCAATGTCGCACGGGTGGCGAGGGTTTGACAAGTGAGAAATCCCCGTTGCAACGCATTTCTCCTCACTTCACGAACCTCACATGTTGCAGCAAGGGGCTGTGTTGCGGAGCTCAGAGGTTGCTTTGAGTGAGCTGCAGCGTTTGAACCATGGTGGAATGGAAGGCTCCTTCGACCTTTGCATTGGCCGGTGGCCTGATCTCTGTTCTATAATTTTACTGAATATAAAGACGCCTGATTGTTCAGTGGGTGACTAGGAAGCAAGGGTGATACAAATACAACCCTAACAATTGTTATTCTCTACATCATGCAAATATAGTTTGACAGTTACAATAACGTGCTGCCATAACTCGGGTATTCATCGAGAAAGGGAGAGAAGCCAATTACCAGTATGCTGAAGCATGTGAGTAGTTGCATCCAGCTTCCTAAGGATACGTGTTGCGGCCTTCTACGAGGCAAACTGCCGAGCGCATATTTCGGAGCGCCTTTGCCGATTCGTCCCCTGCGTTCATTAAATCCCTGGTAGATAACAACGGGAGTTCAGAGAGAAGATTACAGTAAAGCACTGCCTTTTGTTAGCGCAGAAAGGGAAGCGAAATAGCAGGTAAAGGCATGCGCAAAAGCTAGTACAGGTGTGGAGAACGATAATCACTTACTGGTACGACGAATAAGATGTCACAATCCGTGAGCCGAAGTCCCATTCTGCGAAGACATCGTCGAAACAGTGATCTGACGGGTAAATCCTGACTTTCGGGCAAAGCGGTAAGTAGTCGTTGGTGGTTGTAATGTAGTAGGCTGCTGTGACCTTCCCCGCCACTGCATCCGGGAGCTGCGTGCACACGTTGTTGTCGAGGCGGAAAGTGTAGGGCCGAGAAGCTTTGTCCTTGGCTGTTTCATTGGCAATGACCGTGAAGGTGAAAGCAGAGGCGCGTCCGGGGCTCGCTGCAATGGAGTGGCACATGGAACGGGACGGATTTTTGCAACGTTTCTAACACGATCGCCATGTTCAAATAACTTCGCCCACCATCAGGCATTTGGACAACTTGGAAAGGTGAGAAAAAAAATGCAGCAGAGAAGAGTCTGGCCAATGAGGAGAGTAGAGAATGGAGTGAGTGTGCTTCACAGAAACTCACCCTGACAGAAAGCCTCATTCATCCCTAAGGATCCTTCAGGGCACTCGCAGTACCGCACTGGCACCGGTGGCACATACTTCTTATAATTATATGTTGTTTTGCAAGTGGCTCTTCTGGGGCAGCTGCCACAGGGAGAGTCTGGAGAACGCAGCAAGCAGGGAGAAGCAAGAAAGGGCAGAGAAACGTTGGGAGTTTTATGAATAAAGGGTGGGCATTGGTGGGGTGTGACATGCCAGCGGGCTTCCAAGAGAGGGGTTGTGGCTCCAGAGGAACATAGTGGAGAACGAGACAGCAAGGGAGAAGAAAAAAGGCGAAACATAGTGGATCATCGCACATTCCATTCCAAAGAATGGCATTGAGTTGTAAGGCGCCTATACAATGGATGCATGGGGTTCCAGTTGGCTATGGGTCTTGACATACGCACGCGTGGGTTGAAGTAACAGTAAGAAAGTGAGACAGCCATGCTCACCCCACTGGCAGAAAAGCTCGCCGCTCTGATCCACCTGACAGGAGCCACCAGGGTCGCAGCCCAATGCCGCACACGCAGGATCTGCAGCACACAGGAAAGAAAGGAACACAAAAATGAGCAGCAAACAAAGGTATGAAAAAGCGTAGCTAGAACATAAGGGCATAGGAATGATGTACGGGACCATAGAGAGCGTCATTGGAATGGCACTGGTTTAAGTGTAGCCGTTTATGACCTCAAACCACCGCCAAGTCACTTGAACACTAGGTTATATGCTTGGCAAAATTTCAGTTGGCACAGAGGAAGGCATCGCTGCTCTCATCCAAGCACAATCAGAGCCATACCTGCTCTCATAACCGAGTTTTTCTGAATTACGCACTTTGGAAGCACACACTTTGGAATCACGCCCTTGAGAAGGTAGTTAGTTGCAACGTCGGAATCACGTCGGATGCAAAGCACCTTCTAGGAGGATCAGCAATAGCCGTACCGCTGCAGTTGACTTGTGGACTTTTGAGGCGCCTCAATTGGTCCAGCAATATATGTACCGCGGGAGTTGATTAGCGGATGAGCAAAGCACGTACCACTGGAGTCGACTTTCAGTTCGCAGAGGACCGACGCCACTGAAGACCACTTGAGGATGTTCTTCTGTGTGCTTGGGAACCTGAAAACGCGTTGGCAACGCAAGGTCTCACGATCAGCTTAAACAAAGGGAACAAAAAAAAAAAAAAAAAAAAAAAAAAAAAAAAAAAAAAAAAAAAAAACAACAACAACAACAACAACACACACACACATGTTCCCTTCCCATTTCCTCCTCCTCCCTCCCTTCCCCTCCCCAACCCCTCCTCCCCCCAGTCATGCGCGTCCTATTGTTGTGCCGCGCACGACCCCAAGTCACACAGACATACGACCCCGATCTCACACAGACATACGACCGACCCCAACTCACCCAGACGTGCGCGGGTTGACGATACTGTCCAACGCCAGGCCTTGGCAGACAGCCTTACTGAAGAACTTGACCTTCGCGCACTGACCACCCGGCAACGCACTGCTGGAATCCCCGCCGCCCTTCCACCACACCGTCGCGCTCTTCTGCCGCGCCTTCTTGGGCACGCTCACGCACACCTGCTTGGTAAAGTCCAGCCGCGTCTTGCCCACCACCACCGCCGTCGCAACCTGCACGCTACTAGTGGGGGTGCTGGGGGTCGTCGCGAGCGCCCTCCTCGCGTTGACCTCCTCCCTCGCAGCTCCACTGCTGATGGCGCCGGTGGAGGTGCTGCTGCTGGTGGTCACGAGAGCCCTCTTCGGGTCGCTCTTGCTCGCCGGTTTGGCCACTCCGTACGCTGCGCCGTTGAGCGTGTCATCTCCGTACGTTGCGGCGTTTAGCGTGTCATCTCCGTACGCTGCGGTGTCATCTCCGTACGCTGCGGCGTTGAGCGTGTCATGATGCAGTGTGGTCGTTTTCACAGTGGTGTCGCCGTCCGCTGCTGCCTTCATCATCGCCGCCGCTGCAAGCACAGCCGAGAATCGGAGCGTACAAGAGAAATGAGGACAGGAGAAGAAAGCAGAGGAACAAGAAGAGACTCTCTTTAGGGTTAGGTTATGGACTCTTGGAGAGAAGAGGGGGTCGAAAACAAAAGAGAGCAGAAAAGTTGACTGACCGCAAACGAGGGCAAGCGCGAGGAGCAGGAGGCCGGCAGGAGAGGCGCCAAGAGTCATCCTCATGGTGAAGAAAGATGGGGTCTACCCGCCCTTCGAGTAGATCGTGCAAACTGTCGGCGGAATTGGCGGCGGAAGTGGGGGCGGAAGTGCGAGATGTGACGTGCGACAGCCACGATGTCGAGTCACGCCGCCGAGAGCGTCGAGTGCGGGTGAGCGTCGAGCGTCGAGCGTTGAGCGTCGAGGGCCGAGAGCGTCGACAGTCACGATGTCGGAAGTTGCCCTTTCGGACTACTACAAAGAACGACGACGCGTCTAGTTGGTGATGGAGGTGGCCTTGAAATACAGTCCAATGAAAAGGCGAGTCCATCATTTGCAAAGGCAAGTGGAAAGAACGGTACGTAGTTTGGGAGGCGAGGATGGCTAGAAGCATCTGCTAGGCTGATGGTTCACAGTGTGAGCGTGTGCGGAGACGGCCGCCCCTCATTGGTACCAAACAACAACTGGCGCGTAAGCGCGAATTGTGATTGGGTGTTGCGGGTTGAAGGGGGAGGGAGGCAAACGAAGGGACGGAGTTGCTAGCATGCTGTGCGGTGGGAAGTGTCCCACCTTGCACAGTATTGGCTGCTCGGATTGCCTATAGTATAGGCTCGCGATTTGTTGGCTTGTGGCGTATCATGCGCTGGCTTCTAACGAGAACAATGGTTTTGGTCGCTTCCAATCAGCCACAGACGCGTTCGTGCTTGAGAACCTGACCAACCAGATCGGGGCTTGTCCAGCGGTTACGTCGGAATGCGGCTGAATCAGTTTTTGGTACGATCTAGAGCGGTGTGTTTTAGTGTTGGAATGGTCAGGTAGGGTATAAACGGGAGTGCGTATTTTTCGGACCCACCTCAGAGAAGGCGAACGAAGTTGGCTTGGGGAACGTATCCCGAATAGCACTGTGGAATTATACAGGATTCTGTGAAGGTGAGGATGGGTGAAGAAAATATAGTGTGGCGAGAGCCTCCCCAGACCAGAGGATTCAAGTACACAGAGATCCAACGGCTACCTGCGATGCAAACATGTAACATGCTTTCCCACATGTGGATCTGTTTCCAGCGTTTTCCACGGCAATCGATGTTGTGTCCAATAATTTATGGTGAGGAAGAAGGGAAGTGAAGCGGAGCCTAAACCTGGGTGTTCATGTGGTAACCTGATTAGCAAATATCTTTCGCCAAGATTTTCATTTCCGCTCAACACCACCACAAATCACCCTTGACGTCACCACCCTTGACCTGCTGCTGCTTGGTTCAGGTTGCGTCGAATTTCGTACAAAAACGGGGGGTTTGACGGTCAACTCCGCCAAAGCCAAAACGTTACTCAGATGCCTGTCATTCGTGACGGGCGAGTAAGAAGTTCGTTCAGCAGATGAGAGGTTTCCAAGCGAGCCTGCTGCGAAACCATCGTACGCATCTCGTCAAATTCGTTGAGACCTCGCGCCGTCTTTCTTCTTCGGATTTCAGTCCCCTCCCAACCTCAACAACACAGCAAGCCCTTGCACTTCCATTGCACGCCACTTGTTCCGTGTTTGCAATAATTCCCTGGAAATCCACAACGCACCCCCATTTTCCTACGCTTACATAGCAAATCCTTGGTACTGTCCTTACGCAATGCTTCTAGAAACCGTTACACATTGAACCTTGTTGCACCTCTTTGCCTTCCCTTGAGCTCACTCGTAGTTGTACTAGCCCGCGACCATTTCCCGCGTCACGACCGTACCAGAATTTCGCGGCGCTACCAGCTAGCGAGCAGAAGCCAATTTATTTCCACTTCAGCCTCAACGTCCTTTTCACTTCGGGAATCATTCGAGTAGTCTTTCCTAGTAACCTTTCGTTCACGTCGCAAAACGAAATCCGAGCCATTTAATAAAGTGAAGGCCACTCCCTCGGCGCGAAACGGAGTCCGTTGCATTGATAGACAAGCGACGCGCTGCATTCAAGCGATGTTTTATCTTCTTTTCGTGACGATCCTCGCATCGAGCCTCCCCGTGCACACTGCACAACCCGTTGCACGGATAGACGCGCTACAAGGTGACTCGATGGAAAGAAAGGATGGGATGGGATGGAACAGATGGGATGGGATGGAACGGATGGATGGGATGGAACTGTTGAGATGGGATGGAAGGGATGAGATGGGATGGGACGGATGGGATGGAACGGATGGGATGGAAGGGATGAGATGGGATGGAAGGGATGAGATGGGATGGAAGGGATGAGATGGGATGGAAGGGATGAGATGGGATGGAACGGATGAGATGGGAGGAACGGTGCGATGGGATGGAAGGGATGAGATGGGATGGAAGGGATGAGATGGGATGGAAGGGGTGAGATGGGATGGAAGGGATGAGATGGGATGGAACGGATGGGATTGAACGGATGGGATGGAAGGGATGAGATGGGATGGAAGGGACGAGATGGGATGGAACGGATGGGATTGAACGGATGGAATGGAACGGATGAGATGGGATGGAACGGATGAGATGGAATGGAAGGGATGAGATGGGATGGAACGGATGGGTTGGGATGGAAGGGATGAGATGGGATGGAAGGGATGAGATGGGATGGAAGGGATGAGATGGGATGGAACGGATGGGATTGAACGGATGGGATGGAAGGGATGAGATGGGATGGAACGGATGAGATGGGATGGAAGGGATGAGATGGAATGGAAGGGATGAGATGGGATGGAACGGATGGGATGGGATGGAAGGGATGAGATGGGATGGAAGGGATGAGATGGGATGGAACGGATGGGATTAAATGGAGATGGGATGGAAGGGATGAGATGGGATGGAAGGGATGGGATGGGATGGAACGGATATGATGGGATGGAACGGATATGATGGGATGGAACGGATGAGATGGGATGGAAAGGATGGGTTGGCTTCAATGGGATGTATTGGGTGATGGAGTGGATTGGGTGGGACGGGACGTGATGTGACGAGATGGGCTGAATGGGGGGGGATCAAAAGGGATGAATGTGATGGGATGCGTGATGCCATGAGGTGCGATGGTTTAGCACTGAGCAAAGCTGTTCTCTTTGCGAAATCATAATTGTATTTTCATGCATCCATACACGCACATGCAATGCATCCATCCGCAAAACATGAACCCTTAGATACCATGTAACGCCTGCGGGCTTGTGTTAAGGGCATTCCGCTGCGCCAAATAACACAATCGTTTTGACCCAGTGGGTAGCGAGGTGTTACATACCATCTCCCATGCTAAAAAGCTTCTCTCCTCCCAAGTATTTCCCTGCTCCGCTTATCAGTCCTTTGCTGAGGCGCCAAACTAGACCGCTCTTGATTGATAGCTTGTAGCCCTACCCTCCCCTCCTGGTCCAACACCCACTCATGTACTCGTGCGTGCTGTTCTCCTCCCTTCGTCACTCTTCTCCAACAGCACAAGCTCTAGCGGAGAGCGCAGCGGCATGGGGAGTGGCGCCCACAGGGTGGAGTGGAGGGGGGGACTGCAGCCAAGTGCAAGGGGTGACTTGCGACAGCAATGGCACGGTGGTGGCAATGTGAGGCACGGTGGTGGCAATGTGAGGCACGGTGGTGGCAATGTGAGGCACGGTGGTGGCAATGTGAGGCACGGTGGTGGCAATTAATAGTGACATGGTGACTTGCCATGGTCTGCTGTGGGGTTCCATCTGTTGCTTTCCAGACCCCATCCCCATGCGCAAGGAACTTATGACATGCGTAGTCATGTTTTCCTGTTAGCGTTTTGTCATGTTGTGTTCACCGTGCTTCATGACAGGACGCTGTCTTGTTTGTTCATTGACACACAACACATGTGATGTTTGGTGTGATGCCATGGGCATGGCACGTGCGGCATGGCTTGTTATGCCGTGCTTTGCCATGTCTTGGGCATGTCTTGGGCATGTCTTGGGCATGTATCTCATGAGCAGTGACCTGAGCAATACACCGTTGAATGGCAGCATTCCCAAGGAGATTGGCAACCTCACCACCCTCACTCTCCTGTAAGCCTCACCACCAGCGCTCTCTGCTATGGTCCTACCGTCCCTCCATAATACTGACTGCTCATCTGCTGTCTAAAGTTTCAAAGCTGTTGCGGCCTGCCCCCCTTCCATTCTCGTTTGTCTTCCCTTAGTCCCCCTTCCCCTCTGCTCCATGCCCTGTGTTTCGTCCCAAAACAGCAACCTCGCAAACTGCTCTCTAAGTGGCTACATCCCCTCCACCTTCAGTGCCCTCACCTCCCTCTCTCTCCTGTAAGACCCCACTCCCTCCCTCCTTCCATCAGCTCCTTACCTCTCTTCCTCCCTGCCTTCCTCCCTCTACTTCCGCCGTCCTCTGTTTCATAGCCTCCCCGCTCCCATCTTCCCGTCCCCCTCCCTCCCAGCTTTCCCTCCTGCGCTCTCCTCCTGCTCCTCATACCCAACTCCATCTCCCTCCATCCGCCCCTCACACCGCCCCTCCCTCCCTATCTCTGCCCTCCTTCTCCCACTGTCTCATCCTTCCCCACCCGCACTCATCTCCCCCTCCTCCCTCCAGCGATCTGAGTCACAACAGCCTGTGGGGCACCACACCGTCGTTTCTCAGCCTGCTGACGCAGCTCAGGCGCCTGTGAGTCGGCGGCTTGGGAGGCTTGAGAGTTGGAAGCGTGAGAGACGTGAGAGGTTTGAGAGGCTGGGGAGTTGGAAGCATGATAAGTCTGTAATGCGCCCTTCCTTCAGGCACTGCCAGGGACCTGAGAGACAACTCTCTCAAGCAGTCCATTCTAAAAAGACCTTCAAGTCAACTCAAAGCCCATCTCACTCTCCCCTCCCCATGCCGCCCTGCCTTGGTGCCTTGCCCACTTCCTTGCGCCCTGCCCATTCGTGCCCTGCCCGCCAGGGACCTGAGCGACAGCACCTTGCACGGATCCATCCCGGGCAGCCTTTGGGTGCTCCCCGAACTGCGACACCTGTGAGACACAAAATGCCCATGCTCGTGACACAGAATCCTGGCCGATTCTAGAGGCGCTTACAAGATCCTAGCCTTGGCTTCGAAGAGTCCTTTTTCTCACCGGCATCCCGAGTGACAAGGGATGGAGGGGGTTTGTTCATAGCCTAGCCTCCCTCTTCAGTTTTTTCTCTCCCTTGCCTTTTTTACTCTTCCTCTCTTTTCTTTTCTGACAGAGACCTCTCGTCCAACCACATCAACTCAACCATCCCAGCCTCTTTGGGTGGACTCAAGTCACTCACCGCCATGTAAGCCGCCACTCTCGCACCCTCTTCCCTCTGAAAGGCATTGCACTCTCACACACCCCAGTGCACCATTCCAAAATGAGCCGCTATGGCCACATGGCAGGCAGGGTTGATTGGATGGCCGTTGGAGGTTCTTATTGTCAAGGCACGACGAGAGTTCGAGTCGAGCAGTGAAGTGCCTACATGAGTGTTCATAAAGAGGAGGCTCGTGGCAGCAGTGAAGGAGACTTTCTTCAAACTGCCAACGCCTTTTCTTCTCAGCTGCTACTGCTTCACTGAAACCAGATCAGACGCACCGTGCCAATGCATCCATCTATTGTTCCTTCCCCGACTGATGCACGTTTCTGTGGGTGCTTTTTTCCCCACCACCCAGTGATCTGAGCAACAACACCTTGACTGGCAGTGTGCCGTGGAGCCTTGGCTTTCTCACGGAACTCGAGGCGATGTAAGCTAAAAAAACATGGGAAATTCTTCTCAGAAAGAAAGGACCAGTCAGGGTTCGAAGCTGGTTTTGCAGTGGAATCTCATTTGTGCTCTAAGCTGAGTGACCTGACAGACAGCAGCAGCATCCTTTCCTGTCATGTCAGGCCTGCTTAGTCTGTCAGTAGCTCATTGTTTCATTAGACGTATGAAGCTTCACATTTGTGACTCGAAATTCCAGTTTCCCTGCCCAATCACTTTCGTCCCTTTCCAGATTACGCAAACGTGTCTTCTTTGTTTTATCCCGTCTCTTCCTAAAACTCACCTCCCCAGCCCCGTCTCCCCTCCTCCCTTCCCCCCCCACTTCTCCCTCCTTCACCCCCCCTCTCCTCCTTCCTCTTCCCCCACGTTCTCTCCCCGCGTGCACTGAACTAAAGGAACTTGTCCAAGAACGCCTTCTCGTCCTCCATCCCATCGTCTCTTGGCCTCTTGACTCGCCTCGCATCCCTGTAAGCGCGTCTGCAGTGTGTTTGTGGTTTAGAAATGAGAGGCAGGCGGGAGGCACGTGGAAGGAAGACGTGTGGAAGGTGGAAGGAAGCTGCGGAGATAATTACTACAACGGGAGCTAGGCTACGGGCTAGGCACGTGTGCTCGTGTGATCTCTGCGTTCGTTGGTCCTTAGTCGTTTTCCTAGTGCACACACTGCTTGCTAGTTCACAAGGCAATTTGGCAAGAGTTTCACTAAGAAAGTTGACAACAATGATACAATGAAGTTGGCTAGGCAAGACTACATCAGAGCTAGGATGCAAGCAGGTCGACTGCCAGCGCAGCACGGTCGACCGCGTGCCAGCACGACTTGGTCGACCGCGCTCCAGCAGTGCAGGGACGCGGCTTGCCAACGCTGCAGGTCGACGGCGAGACAACAGCGCAAGTCGACGGCGTGCCAGCGTTGCTCCTGCAGTCCAGCATCGCACCCGCTTCGCAGGTGCTCGTAGATGATTGGCGTGCACTGCTTCGTCACCTGCACAGCGCACACACCAAGTCCACCTCGTGCTGACGACTGCATCTGATGCACCACGTCGACCTCGGGATACCATCACCGAGGTCGTCCTCGCCAAAACCACCTGGGCGACCTTCGCAAGCCTTCGCAGCACCTCGTCACCCAGGTAACTTGGTCGACCGGGCAACCAGGTCGACCAGAGGCTCCAGTGCGTGCCCGTCGACCACCCAGGTCGACGACCACTTCCGGTCGACCTCCCAGGTCGACCACTGCCTCTGGTACGTGCCGGTCGACCTCCCAAGTCGACGGCCACCTCCAGTCGACCTCCCCAGGTCGACCACTATTCCCTGGTCGACCAGAAGGCCTGGTCGACGTCCCTGGTCGACCAGAAGGGCTGGTCGACTTCCCAGGTCGACCAGGAGGTCTGGTCGACGTCCCAGGTCGACCAGAAGGGCTGGTCGACTTCCCAGGTCGACCAGCCGAAGTTGGCGCCCTCCTGAAGTCGGCGCCCATGCAGTGGCTCCCCGTGCAGGTCGACCAACCTCGTCGACCAACTCGCCCACTGCTGCAGGTCGGCTGCACCCTACACCCAACCACGAAGTCGGCTCCGCCCAAGCGAGGACGGGGCCAACATACAACTCCCGTTGACAGAAGCTTCGTGGAAGGTGGAAGGATAGTGGATGGAAGGTGAAATCGTATAGTCACTCACGCAAAAACACATTGCTGGAAATCATTTCTTTGTCAATGAGGCAAACGGCAACCATATCGTAGTAATTTGAGAATGCTTTTGTATCAACCCAAGCACTTGAATGAGGAAAGATAGCCACAGCAGTTACCCAGTTTTCACACAGACGGAAGCGGAGGCAGAGAGATGAGATCGCCTAACGCTCTACCCTTCCCGCCTCTCTTCCTTTCAAATTCCACCTCCTCTCTCAACCCCTTCGCTTTCTATTGTTTTCTCTCCACCCTCCTGCGCACAGCAACCTATCGAGCTGCTCTCTCAATGGCACTGTTCCCAGCATGCTCAGCTATCTCACTCGCCTCCACACCCTGTGAGTCCCACTGGCCGTCACTCCCAGTGAGTAAGCTTAGGAAGTCCGTTAACTTAGCCCCATTTCTCCATTTCTTGTGTCTGCCTGCGAGTGAGTGCAGCGACCTGAGCTCCAATGCCCTTAGTGGTTCCCTGCCCCGCCTGCGCCGTTACAGCCTCCTCACCCACTTGTACGTGAGAAATATCGCTGATGCCACCCGCCAGTGCCACACACATGCCATCTGCACGTAATGCACACACTTTCCATCTGTATGTGATACACACACATGCCATCTGTATGTGATGCACACACATGCCATCTGCACGTGATGCACACACTTTCCATCTGCACGTGATGCATACACTTTCCATCTGCACGTAATGCACACACTTTCCATCTGCACGTGATGCACACACATGCCATCTGCACGTGATGCACACACATGCCATCTGTATGTGATGCACACACATGCCATCAGTATGTGATTCTTACCTTCCGTGCCACTGGTTAGTGCCACATGCCATGCCATCCTCTCGTGGCACTGCCTGTTAGCACCTCGATATGCCATCCCCAGATCTCGCCCCCTTGACTCAGACTGTCAGCCCTCTCAACTGTATCCCGGTCGCTCCCCATTCCCTTCCCATCCATCCATCCTTGCTCTCGTGCCACACCCCACGGGCCAGGACGGTTGGGGCCCCCCTCATAGCCCATGGCGGTCATGCCCCCCATCCCCATCCTCATCCCCATCCCCCGTCCATCCCCATTCCCCCCTAACAGCGACCTCAGTGCCAACGCCTTCCAGGGCACTCTCTCTCAAGGGCTGGGCAAGCTTCAGCAGCTGCAGCATCTGTGAGCACCTCAAAACTCTCTAAGTTTTTCCCAACTGTATGTTCCAGCGACCCAGTCAACGGGTCCCGCTATGCGTAGGTGAGCTGGAATGACTGCTCAGCACAAGAGGAACTACTTAGTGCACAGAAAGAACTAGCGTCCTTGCTATAAGATTCTTTCCCTTTTTTTCGTTTTCTATTCCCTTCACCAAGCACACTTTTACCCCCTTTGTCTCCCAGACCCTCATCATGGGCCTTCAACCTGGCGTTTGTCTCTCCAACTCTCTTCCGCTCAGCTCAAGTCTCCCTGCCCTTCCTTTCCTTCCACCTGCAGTGACCTGAGCAGAAACCAGCTGAACGGCACTCTGCCCGAGGGCCTTGGCAGAAGCTCTCTCCTCTCCCACCTGTCAGTGCTCCCACCATTCCCAGCACACCCAACCTAACACACCCGCAACACCACCCCTTCAGCCCTCAACGCCAGGCTTTCTGGCAATGAAAATCACCTTGTTTCTCGCTTCCTCGTTACGTAGCTCCAAAATCCCTCTCCCTCTTGCGTGCCATGCAGTGATTTCAGCGCCAACTCTTTCAACGGCACTCTGCCTCAAGGACTGCAGCAACTCACGGCTCTCACTTACCTGTAAGCTCTGACATCTCTGCACGCCCGTCTGTCTAGAGTGCGGCCAACAAGGGCGCTGAGCATTGGGCTGCTTGCAACTTCACCGTCCCTCCACAATACTTGCAGAGCTTTCCGGAAGCCTTTACTCTCTTCCTTTCCCTTCCTCTCTTCTGCTTCATGCGAATGATTCCTTCTCTCATCACCTACACACCCATCCCTTCTCGTCACCTACACACCCATCCCTTCTCGTCACCTACACACCCATCCCTTCTCATCACCTACACACCCATCCCTTCTCGTCACCTTCACACCCATCCCTTATCATCACCTACACACCCATCCCTTCTCATCACCTGCAAACCCATCCCTTCTCATTCGTCAACTGTATACTCCTTGCCCTCTCCCTCCCAGGCTCACATTTTATCCTTCACTCTCTCCTACCATGCCCATCAATTCCTCTCATCATGATATGCCACCACTCATAACTCCCTCCCACCGCACCCATGACTCCCTCCCCTCCCACCACGCCCTCCCCACCAGCAATCTGGGCAGCAACGCCATCAATGGCTCCATCCCCGAATCTTTCGGAAACCTCACCAACCTCATCTCTCTGTACGCACCAACATGTCACCAAGCAAATACCACGCCCAGCCACGTGTCTGCCCTGACAAGGTGCTTCTCCTCTCCTCGTGCATGGAAGCGCACACTCTGCAAATGAACCCCCACCAACCTTGCAGGCAGTTTCCAGTCCTGCAGGCAAGTAGGCCCCCACCGAATGCTCCCCCAGCTTGATATGCTGCTCGTTCATTTAACATGCCTCCTTTTCATTCTATCCACATGAATTTCTCCAATCCCATCCTTCAAATTGCAGGAACTTCACCTCGAATCTGCTCAACGGATCCATTCCATCGTCCTTCGGGGATTTCAGCAACCTGCTCTACTTGTAAGCCTTTCACAGCTCCTGTGCTGGTGAGGAATCCATTTGGCTTACATCACCCTGTCATCTCCTCCGCTCAAGAAGCTTTCCGAACCTGTGAATGTATCCATGTGTTCCCTGTTTGACAGATTCCCCACTCCTCTCCGAACCTTTAAGAACCATCATTTCAGAACAGTCTCTGCTGTCCCTCATCTGTCCAGTCCAGGGTACCTCAGTGTGTTTTAAACATTATTTTTTCTGTTCGTATTTCCCACTTGCTGCCCCGCTTCACCCTTTCCTCCTCACCCATCAGTGACGTCAGCTACAATGGCCTCAACGGGTCGCTCCCAGACTCCTTCAGCCGACTATCCGCACTCAAGCACCTGTAGGCACTCAAGCTCTTGCGTGAACGACTTGAGCCCGCATGAGAACTGTTTCAACGTGATTGGTTGATGCCTTTGTGCTGCCATCCTCTTGAAATGGAGTTCTCATGGCATCGCATCTGCTATTATGGCTTGGTTGGATCAATTTAGGCATGAGCAGCAAAGTACCTAAAACTTCAGCTCACAGCTGTTCATTGCTGATAGCTGAAACTCCATCTTGCAAGCAAGTATGGTTGATTCATTCCAATGACCTTGCAAGCCCATGACTGCCCGTCTCTCACAGGGATGTCGCCAAAAACCAGCTGAACCAGACACTGCCTGCCAGCATCAGCAACCTCATCAGCCTCACCAACCTGTGAGTGGCAGCATGCTGTTGATAGGGGGGGAGGGGGGGGATCATGTTCCCGTTGAACATGTATTAGGTGGAAGCAAGCATGTATGAGGTGGAAGCAAGCATGTGTGAGGTGGAAGCAAGCATGTATGAGGTGGAAGCAAGCATTAATGAGGTGGAAGCAAGCATTAATGAGGTGGAAGAAAGCAAGCATGTTGGAAGGGAAGCATGCTTGGAGGTAGTAAGTTTGGGGAGAAGCATGCTGGGGAAAAGCATGTTGAAGGAAAGCACTTTGTGGGGAAGCATGTTTGCGGGGGTGGATTTCAGTCATCATTCATTTCAACGGCTTTTCTTTCTTATCTCCTTTCCCGCCATTAAATATTCTCCTTGTTTTGCTGCAATGCGTGCACCGCATCCACTTACTCATAGAAACCTCCAGGCGTGCGTGAATGGGATGCTCCCATTCTCGCCAAGTTGATGCATGCCCTCCCCTATCCTCTGCACATTTTTCCTCTCAAAAAGCATCTCGACGAATGTTTTCTCATCTCACGGAATGCATTCATGCATTAATGCTTGCTCTTCCCCACGGCTCCTCCAGCAATTATTTTTCCTTCGCTTCCCCTCTGCTATCCATGACCCTCCCATCTCATCTCATCTCATCTCATCCCACGGGGCTCTTGTTCATCGTCAGTCAGTTGAAAGTCATTCCTCGACGATGCCTTACTGCTTGCTCTTCCCCGCGGCTCCTTCAGCAGTTCTTTCACTTTCACCCCTCCTCTGCAACCCCACGTCCCTTCCTCCGCCCCTCACAGCAACGTCTCCATCAACTTCATCAACGGGACTCTCCCTGCCGCCATCAGCACCCTCACCAACCTTGTTGCTCTGTCAGTCCACCCCTCCTCTGTCATCAGTCACCCTTCCCCCTGTCTTCTTTATCCTTCTGCTCGAATGCTTCTGTGACTTACCTCCCGTCTGTTACCCTTGTTAACAATGCTTTGGGAATCATGCATGGAGACAAAGTTCTTCCTCTTGTTTTGAGGCGCCCCAATGGAAGCTCATGGAACGCATGGAAGCGCTGAATCTTGCATCTCACACCGTCCCTCCGTTTGCTTGTATTCTTGTTTCCATACCATCAGCTTTCACCTCCTACTATTGACTGGATTGGTAGAGACTGATTTGATATGGTTTTTTTTTTTTCCCCTTGGTTCTATCTAGCACAAACAGGTTTGTCAGTGCAAGTGCAGTGGAGTTTGGCGACCCTTTATACAGTGCTGGCTGATAGCTACCATCATACCAATGTTGCCATTGTGCTGGGTTTTCCATGATCTTGTTTCTGATTGGCTGCAGAGACGTCCACTTCAACAGCATGAACTGCTCCTTCCCATCGTATATAAGCACACTCACTAAACTCACGTGGCTGTAAGTCTGGCAAGATCCATACAAGTCTGACGCATGCATGCCTTGACAAATGGTGGTGACTACTAGTTTATTTTTATTGCAACGATAAATGTGCACTGTCCTTGCATCATGTTCTATCTGCCGCTACCTTTGTACATGGTATAGTCGTCAAGTGTGAGTATTTCTTCAGAGATTGAGATACTTTTCGGTTGTGGGTGGCAATTCCCGAGGTGCTGTGATGTGATGTAACACAAGCCACCTTGTGTGTTTCTCTCCACCATAGGCTCGTGCTGTTCCCAACTGTCCACAAAGCTCACTTCTTTTGTGATTCCTTGGCACATCAAAGCTTCATGTTGTTCCCGTTCGGCTGGCTGGTGCATGCATGTGACAGTGGCATGAGCGACAACAAGTTCTGGGGTCCCATTGGAGAAACCATTGGGGCACTCACCAACCTGGAATACATGTAAGTCAGTCCCTGTCCTGCCGCGCCATGCCATGCCATCTCATGCAATGCCATGTCATCCCATACAGTACCATGCCATGCCATGCCATGCCATCCCATGCCATGTCATGCCTGCCTTGGCATCCCATGCAATTCGCTGTGCTCCATGTGGGTCACCAAAGCACGCCTCTTACTCTGTCGTCCACATTATTGGTCTCATCTCATGTATCCCCCCCACCCACCATGTCTCTCAATGCCGCTGCCTGCCAGAGTGTGGTGGTGTATCATGACATCCTTGGATCGGTGGCCCAGTGCTGTTTCTCAAATGATCCGTCTATTGATATGATCCTGGTTACACAAGACTCATAAGCCTGGTGGTGTTTCTATGTCTCCCCCTCTGCCACTCTTCTTGTTGATCCCCCAATCATGCCCCTACTCTGTGATGCCCCTATCATGCCCCTTCACTGTCATAATGTCATTGCAGGGATGTCGGTAGAAACCGTGCCCTGATCTGCTGCCTTGATCCCCTCACCATGCCCCGTCAATGTCATTGCAGGGATGTGGGGTGGAACCCGAGATTCGATGCCGACACAGCTATTAGCGGATCCATCCCCGCCAGCATTGGCAACCTTCTCAACCTCAGATACCTGTAAGCTTCCACACAAGACCTCTTTAACCAGTAGCACATGTCACCGTCCACACACACCCTCCTCTCAACCTCACGTACTTGTGAGCATTTGAACCCACTGCCATGCGTAGATGAATGTTGAGTTGAGAACCACAACTCACTGCCATGTGTTGATTGATGATGAGTTGAGAACCACAAGCACGGTTGGCTGACAGTCTGTTCAACCTCTCATACCTGTGAGCACTCATTCCTGCACTGCTGGCCTCTGCTCCTCCTGTGCAGGAAACTGGCTGGCAATAAGATCAATGGAGGCATTCCCAAGACCATCACGAAGCTTAAAAAGCTCGAGTTTCTGTGAGAATTTGAGATGAGCCTTTATCTCCCCCCTGTCATGTGCTGAAGGAACACTCGTTGTATGAACCCTGCCCCTTCTGCTGTCTTCCCCTCCTCTTTGACGGTTTCCTGCATCTGTTCCTCCGCCCACATCACTATCCATACAAATGACCCCCGCATCTTTTCCTTGTGCCGACCACCCTCTCCTCGTGCAGCTCCGTGGCATTCAACAGCATGAACGCAGATTTGCCAGACTTCCTGTCCGAGCTCACAGCGCTCAGGCAGATGTAAGGAGAACACGCATTAAACTAGCAATTTTGAGCGGCCTCAAAAGACATACATTTAGCTAGCACAAGTTGGCACTGGTTTTGCTTCCACTCCTGAGGAGCCTGAAACACATGCAGCCCTAAAAAACATGTACGGACAAGAAGTAACACATGTAGGGAAGGGAAGGGAACCTTGAGACCTCCGTAGCAGAGATGTATGGGGTGGTGGAAGGGAACCATCCATTAGAGGTTAAGAATGGGATTTTTACCTTAAATGGGATGAACCGTGTGTTTATCCTCCTGTTTCATGGACAACGGGATGTATGGACATGGAAACGTCACACGGATCGTCATTACCCCCTTGCCACACCCTTCCTTGCTCTATTCCTGCCACCATTCCAAGACCCCTCTTGCCCTACCCGTACTGTTTTTCCCCCATGTCACGTCTCTCTCTGCTGCAACCCCTACAGGGGGATGCGCACCAATGGTTTCACAGGGTCTATTCCCACCAGCCTCGGCACTCTCTCCCACCTGCAGCGACTGTGAGTCTTGTGTGCAGCCTGCTGACAGCAGGCTGACGTAAACAAAGTATCGTTTCACAGGGTCCATTCCCACCAGCCTCGGCACTCTCTCCCACCTGCAGCGAATGTGAGTCGTGTGTGTGGTGTGGGTGGAGTGGCCTGCTGACTGACAGCATGGTGACATACAACAGAGTGTCTGTAAACGCGGCGGGGTTTGCTCCCACCAGCTTTGGCAGTATCGCCCGTTGTTTTTCCATGCTCCTCGCTGTGTGCTTCGCTGCTTTTTACTTGTGGTTTGCACAATATACGTGTTCCCCATTACTATGTTTGTGCCCACTGCATACGTCCCTCACGGCAGGGAGCTGAGTTACAATCAGCTCAGTGGCATGGTGCCGGTTTCCTTGGCCAACCTGCACAACCTCACCGAGCTGTAAGCCCATTTTCCCCCTTCAAGGTACCGATATACTCCCAAGTATAAACAGGATCTTAGGTACAAGCACATGTTGCCACTGTGCACAACCTGCACAACCTCACCGAGCTGTAAGGACCCACTCAGGTACATATGACATGCTGCCACTGCGCGCAACCTACAGATGTTCGCCCTATGTGCACGGGTGATAACTGAGTCAACTTAAAAATCACCTCAGAGAGCTGTATGGGCATGTTTCCCCAGGTACATATACTTGTACTTGTTTCCTCAAGAGCTGACTATGTGAAGGGTGGGTGGGTGTTTGCGCACAACCCAGCCTCACCTAAACCCATAATCTCCAAAGAAATGAAAAGGTTGCAGCTAATCTCGTAGAGCATCATCCCCGATCTCCTCCTACCGTTTCCAACCCATTGTTACTGTTAATTGAAGAGTCCTCTTCAGCTCCAGTGCGTTCCTTGTATCACAATTTCAGATCAAGTACCTACACCCCCATGCCCACGTGCAACTTCATTCATGCACTCGTACGATTATCCATTGCACCTATCAACATGCATGGATGCAAACATGACATGACATGACATGTGTCCGCACACACATGTTTCTTGAATCCCTCCCACCCATCAGGTGGCTGCGAGACAACCAGCTGAACGGCACCATCCCCTCCTTACTTGGAGAACTGACCAAACTCGTTGCTCTGTGGGTGCCTCGTTGCCCTGTGGGTGCCTCGTTGCCCTGTGTGTGGGTGCTGATAATGAAAACCATTTTTTTCTTGCCATTTCTTGCAGAACAATTCACATCCCTTCTCAATCACATCCCTTCTCAATCGCATGCCTTCTCGTGGACGCACAACCACATGCTTCCCTTTGCATTCCCTCCCCTTGTTGCCCTCCGCACTGCTGCATCTTGCTGCCCTCTGTACGCTGCCCGATTACTGTCCTTTACTTTGCCCTCTGCGGTGCCTGCAGGGATCTGAAGAACAACGACATGAATGGCAGCATCCCCACCTCGATCTACAACCTCACCAGGCTCACCAAACTGTCAGTGCCGCAACCCACCCGCAGCCTCCATGTCACACACCCACAGTGCACACAGAGCAGAGAACAGCGGGACAACAAACCCCTCTCCCTCTACTGTGTCTTTCAGAATATTCAAGAGCATCTCTGTCTACACCCCAAATCTATACACCTCTGCCTCTATCTTACCTTGTGCCTTATGCACTTTCAAATCTTCAAAGGCACACCTCCCTTCCTCCTTTTGAATTGTCGGTGCAGCGATTTGAACTCCAATGGCTTCACGGGACCACTTGCCTCTAGCATTGGGCGGCTCGTCAGCCTTCAGTTCTTGTAAGTAATAAAGTAAAATCTCTTCTTCACGACATTGGTCACTCTTCTTCACGACATTGGTCACTCTTCTTCACGACATTGGTCACTCAAAGTTGAAGCGCTTGCCAATAGGTAAGGGGTAGAGGGGGGCTGTTCAGTTCATTATCATACACGTGTGTGTTGTCACAAGAATCATAGTATACTAATTGTACTATTGTAAAATTTGCTAAAGTGGGTGTGGAAGCCCAGCGTATCATTGTTCTGGGAGTAGCTGTAGATAGGTGAATGAGGCCTCCACCAATAATAAGGGCAGGGCCGAGCGCAAAGTGAGCTTGGGACAGGGAGCAAGGCGAGGAGGAAGCAGGTACTCCGACGAATTGTTTACAAATCTAGTTCTTGAACCATCATGTTGAAATGTGCTGTCTGCATGCAAAGCCACTCAGCCATGAATTGTCAGTGCGTAGAAGTTTCTGTGTAGCAGCTCCACGTAAAAGTTACCGTGAAACAGGTTGCATGTAGAAAATGAACATCACAAAATAGCAGTTTCCATGCAGCAGTTGAACATTAGAGTTACAGAACAACGATTTGCATTGTAAAGCCACAGATAACAAAACATTGTGGTGTAAATCAGTTTTGCAAAGCGTGAAATTTATTCCAAAAGGCTTGATTCCCCTGAATCCTCCTTTCCCTCTCCCCTCAGCGATTTGAGCAGCTGCCAGTTCTCAGGGTCTCTCCCAAGCACCATTGGTCGCCTCACCAACCTGACTCAAATGTGAGTGCCGGCTGTATTCCACTTGTGTCAGTCGTGATATCATCGCCCAAACTTCACTCACCCTCATGTCACGTTCGGATGCGTGCATGCTTCCTTTACATGCATGTGACTCTTTGAAGTGTACTCTTACATTTGTGAGTATACTTGGGAATACCACATGCCCGAATCACGCTATGATGAGAAGGTTATGGGCGACAAAAAAACACAGTACACTCTGTATGGCACTAGTTAACCCCCATACCTTGTCTGCTGCTTCGGTAACCAACTCGTTTCCTTGAAAACGGTGAACAATATTTCCTCTCATTTCCAAGTCCCCGTCCATTTCGTGATCCCATTTCCTATACGTTCAGGTGGCTGGCAGACAACCATTTCAACGGCTCCGTGCCCGACTCATGGAGCAGCCTCACGCAGCTGCAGGCACTGTGAGTGCTTCTCTCGTTAGTGCTTCTCTCGAGCTCTAATCTGCGAGACTTTGAGTGGTACTAGCGATATGTGAGTGCTGCTCTCTGTAATGCTGCTTGGAGGCTTTTGATAATGAAAGTGAGGGTGCTACCATGACATGTGAATGCTGCTCTCAGGCTCCTCCTACTCCCCACAGTGGCATCGCAGGCAATGCTCTTTCCGGCACTGTCCCAGCAGCATTCTTCAACCTCAAGAGCCTCACCCAACTGTGAGTCTACGTTTCACTAGATACATGTGTATGCATGAATACGAATAAAAGAAAATCAGGGTTTTCCTGGAACTCTGCATGCCAGCTGCGAGCCTTTGGCTGCCTCTTTGTCTTTGAATCACCTTCAAACCCCTGTCCAAACTCTTAAGGTGCTCATTTGTACATATTTTAACCTGCAACAACTTACATGCACTTGCATGGCATCATCCAGCCATTGCATGAAGGCGCCAGCAGAGGAATTTCAAGTAATAGGTGCAATGAACCTTCAGGTGTAATAACCATGAAATGGAAATGGCTGAAGTAATGATGTGTGGCACAATACGAGGCAGGCACATGCCGTATCGCATGAGATTTAGGTAACGACAATTTCATGCATTCCAATGTTCCTAACAAAACCAGTTTCCAACAATATTTCCAACTCCATAACCCTGCAGGCACTTCCCCAACAACTTATTCCATGGTTCCCTTCCCACCGCCCTCTTTCAACTCACCAACCTCACTGATCTGTAGGCCTCTTTTTGAGTGCGTCCTTGCCTTGAGATTCATACACATCACCTACCGCGAATCACCTTTCTGTCTTATTGTTTACCACGTAACAGACCTATGAGTTCACGTGTCATGCATAAGAATCCACAAGTTTACTTATTCGTGAGTTTATGCTCTCTGCTCTGCATCACTGACAAGTCCCGCAAGCCCGTTTCACAAAAATGACATCGATGCTGTTGAGTGAAAGCAAATACGTGCTTATATCTGGCATTGACAGTCCCATCACATGGTGCCCTGCTCTGGTCTGGCTCGTGCTTGTCCAGGAACTTTGGCAATACATCCTTGTCGGGACCGATACCTTCGGAGATCAGCAGTCTTGTGCAGCTAAAGTGGACGTAAGCTTGGTGCCTAGTGCGCGCGCGCGCACACACACACACACACACACACACACACACACACCTGCGTACACACACACACACACACACGCACACACACACACACACACACACACACACACACACACACACACACACACACACACACACACACACACACACACACACATACATACACACATAGATGTCAGCCACCCAGTGCACCTGGAGCATACACAAGCTGACTGGCTCTACCGAATGCTCCTTCTGTGCTTTACTTGTCTGGAGCCTCTGACCTGCAGCGATGGGAAGAAGGCCAACTTCAGTGGACCCCTGCCGACCACCATCACACGAATGACGACCCTCGAGAGATTGTGAGTACTCGTGTACTTATTCAGAGTATTTTAGAAGTAACACCACCATACCGTCAGCATGGCCTATTTCAGTGTCTCTGCCCGTGAAGCCAAGAACCGTGAAAGCCTTGGTAGAATCTGTGGAGGGAGATGCATGCGGTGTGATGCTCAATGAAGCCAATGCAGTCCATGACGTCACTCAAAAACCTGGCATGAGAACTTGGCAATCATGAGGACACTCATGTGCATACACATTCACGCAAAACATGGACGCGTGCATGCGCATGTGTATGTGAAGGTGCTTATGGATCACACCAGCATATGAATGTGCACATCAGTGTGCGTACAACATGTAAAATGCTCTTGATGGCATACTTACCCTTACAAAGGCGGGGATGTAAAGGGAGGGTATGGCAGACCTGCCTGCTGCAGCCCCACATTACCTTCACCTACATGACCAGTACCGCCAGTGCCATTTCCTCCCCTTTTCAAGTCTCCGATTGCACCTCACACCCCTTTACCATCCCACCATGTGTGTGTGTTACTGAGAGGACTTCACTCGTGTTAAGGCAATTCCTTGCCTAACTTGCCACCATATGAATGCAAATGGAACTGGCAGGAATCTGGCCAACAACCGCTTGAGTGGACCCATTCCTACTGGCTTTGCCAACCTTACCAGCTTAACAATGCTGTAAGCGTTTACACATAGTTCAACTGTTCTGTTTGTTCATAATGAGATTCACAAGGCTTCAGCTGTTTTGTTTGTTCACCTCTGGCGCACACACTTGGTTGACCCATTCCAGTCGTACGGCGTAAGTTGTTCAGGGCTTTCCCTAATTGTGTCTGCCATGGTCAAACTTCACCCTGTGTGGTATTACGTTCTGATGCTCCATGTGTGAAATGCATGCAGCATTCTGAACAACAACAGCCTCTCAGGCGAACTACCTGCTGAGCTGGGCCAGAACCCTGCTCTCAAGGACCTGTGAGCACTCACTCACTCGTGAGCACCAAAGCGCTTGTGCACATACCTGCTAGCCATGCCGTTTCACTTAAACGTCCACACGCCTCAGATTATTTTCTTGATAATTTCTTTTGTCTTTTCTATACCCCCCGAATATGTCCTCACACGCCCCTCCTGTTGTGTTGAGTTATCCTTTTGCAGTGGTCTTGGCAGCAACTACCTGGAAGGATCTGTCCCTGAAAGCTTCTCTGGGCTTACCAACCTTACCAAACTGTGAGCAAACACAAGCCATCAAGCGAGCAAAGACACTTAACTTGTCGTCTCCTTGCCAACCAGACTGACGCCACTCGGGGGCGCATGACGCCAATCTATGTTCCAATGCTTTAGCATGCCATGTCAGTAAGAACTAACCTGTGCAATACCAGATTAACGTGACAGCTTTGAGGTTGTCTTCCAAAATTTTGACAGGGCCTATCCAGGAGCACCACTCTCAACCGATTTGTATGTCCTATGCATGGCCGCTGCAGGGTCCTGAGCAACAACTCCCTCTCAGGCTCCCTTCCTACCATCATCAGCACTCTCACCTCGCTCAGCATCCTGTCAGTCTCCGTGTGCCGCGTGTTGGTGTGCTTCGTGTGCCCCGTGCCGAAGCTATTTGCACTTTGTGTTCTTTGTTTCTCCCCAGAGGCCTCTGGATTGTTGGGGCTTTCGTTGGATATCATGGAAACTTGATTTCGCTCCTACTTCTGCTGCCGCCCGCCACCATCACAGCTGCTGATTGCTTGCCATTAACATTACACAGCCCGTTAACAAATAGCCTGCTCTGGCATGATATGGAGTGGCGTACGTGCGGCATGGTATGCCGCGCCACGGTATGTTGCATGGATGATTGGGAATGATCACATGACAGGAATTTGCATAACAACAACTTTGAGGGATCGCTGCCCAATCTCCCATACAACCTAACGACTGTGTACGTCTCTAGAAGCTCGCATATCAACCTGTCGACTGTGTACACAATGCAATCTCCTGCATTGCTCTACTTGAATTCCTCTCCTTAATCTCACATTCTCTTCGACATGCAACTGCGATTCGGGTAAAGCAATTGCTCTAGATATAAGGTATTGTTATTGTCGCATATTGCTGCGAATCACATCCAAGTCTTGTAGCAATCAAAGCGTTCGCCCTTTGATTCTTTTTGTTATTCCCTGTGGTCTCTCGTGGCAAAACACAGTGACCTCAGCGGCAACAACTTCACGGGAGCCTTTCCAGAGAACATTGCACAGCTTGACAGCCTTGCCTCATTGTAAGAGCAGGCTCACGCAACCGCTCTCACTCTCACTAGAGCATTTTGATCCGATAACCCTGCAGCTTAGTACTACTAATGGGATTGCAGATCGTTTCGCAGCATGGGATGGCGAAGGTAGCAATGTGGCAAGTGCGGAGGGTGGCTAGGCGAGGCTAGACCAAGTGCGACCCACTTCTGGCAGTCCACCTGAGCCGACCCACTTCTGGCACTCCACCTGAGCCGACCTTGCTCGCTCCTAGTCCCCTACTTGCACGCAGATGTTTCTGGCTTCAGAGCCTCACACATGCACATATGCAGCAGACTGCTCACACAACTGTATTGACTGTTACACATTGTTGCTGTCGCAAACAACCTCACCTTTACTCCACCTCGGTCTGCAGGAACGTCAGCAGCAACAGGCTTTCTGGCTCGCTTCCTTCAGAATTGAGCAGCCTCGTGGCCCTTACATCCCTGTACGTGCCACTGCAGTCCCTTGTTCCTGCACCAGCTGCTTTCACCTGCTTGCATCCAAAAAATGCGCGAGCCGCTCGTTAGGACCCTAGTACACCTCAAACTTAACCCTTCTCTTACACCATTTCACACTCTTCTTTCACACCTCTTCACACATTTCTTTCACACCTCCTGCCATCCCTCTGCCAAGCAGCAACACAAGTAGAAACCAGTTCTCAGGAGCCATCCCAACCGCCCTCCAAAACCTCAAGCTCCTTAACTCCCTGTGAGACCATTCGTTTCCTGCATTCGTGGGACCTCCACGTGATGTCTGGTGAACACTGGTCCCTGTATGCACATATGACGTTCAAAATCCTGCTATCCCTGTTACATCCTAAACCTTATTTTTTTCTGAATATCCACGTGGCTTCCTACAAATGGCAGGGACCTGAGTGGCAATTCTCTCAGTGGCAGCATTCCAGACTTCCTGAGCGTGCTCACGTCCTTACAGAGCCTGTGAGTGGAACCATCAAGGATTGTGATTGTGTGGTGCGTGTAAATGTGCAGTACCTGCGTTTTGTGCGGCGCAAATTCCAATTGAGTCCAAGCCATTCTGATACCACTTTTTTCTCATTTCAATCGCTAGCAAGCAAATCATCATTGCTGAAAACATTCAGTATGTGTTGCTTACTATGCTGCCCTGGCCCCACCTGCCCCGATTCGCCCTACTACTTTCACAGCAATCTCAGCTCCAACTCGCTTTCTGACACGCTGTCTGCATCTTTAGGAGCTCTGGATCAGATAACGTGCCTGTAAGGGTCACTTTCGAATATAAATACTTGGAGCTCAGAAGAACCACTGAATCTGGAAGGAGAGGTGGAAGGAAGCGAGGGCGTAGATTATGAACATGAGACAAGCAAGCATTGGAACAGCTTCACGCAGTTCGTATTCTGTCAAATTGGAATCGAAGCATGCCTGTCCACCTTGTACAAGCTTGTGCTAAACAGCGACACTTTACATTGCAGTATTCATTCTGTCGCATACATGCTGTAAGAGCTCAAAGCGAGACATTGTAGTGCCATGGTGCAATGAATCTCACCATTCGGATTTGATTTTCTTCTGTTTATTCCATTTAAAACAAGAGATCACCACTGTGGTGAAAGAGGAAAACGTCGGTGGATGAATTGGTAAATTATCATAGAAAAAGAACGAGATTATGCTCGTGCATGAGCACTGAGAACCCAAGAATATCCACTTTTGGAGGACTGGTTAGAGAAGAAATCAAATTGCAAGAGCAGTGTTTAAACGTTGATGAGAGCATGTAGCAAGAACATAGAATGGCACCCTACAGTGACAAACGGAAAATGCCCATTCATTTTTTTCATATACGTAATCTTTCAGGCCTCACTCATGTACTGGCCTTCTAAGAGCTGTGCCTGCCTCTTCAGCTGCTTCTCTCTGCTGAACGAGAGTTACAGGTCGTTTGTGATTGAAATCTGCTCAAATCCTCCAATCCCATTCATATGCGCCTTCTCACATTTCCTGCCTTCCCTTCTCCCCCCTGCCCCCACAGTGACATCAGCAGCAACCAGCTGTCTGGATCCATCCCATCTGCTCTTGGCAGTCTCACCATGCTCGTGCACATGTGAGTGATGCACATGTGAGTGATGCAAGTATGCATGATGAATGGTCATGCACATGTTAGTGATCCATATGTGGTTGAGGCATGCATGCCCGTACACATATGAGCCCCCTGATTTATGTCATGTAAGGATGAGAAAAGGGCGAACTTAAACCTGTTTGTCCCAAACAGTTTCAAAAACCTTCCGAAGTTGAACCAAACATGTTCTGTACGAGTCAGACAATTAGGAGGAAGCTCTAAACACTGGAAAATGGTACCTTCATGCCAGATCGCTAAGTCACAAGTCACAACAGCATTTCACACACTCTTCATGTCGCATACACGCCACGCGCCCCCCTTCCCGCCCCTCCCAGGGACATGAGTCATAACAACATTTCAGAGTCCATCCCCACCAGCATTGGCCACCTCTCAGACCTCACCTTCATGTACGCCCAGATTCGGTTATGTCATCCTTATCGCCCTCCTATAAGCACATCGCTGTTAGCTCCATGTGTAAGGTGTGATGACGGCGTTGGGATGATGGCGTTGGGATGATGGCGTTGGAATGAGGCCTCACTGTGATGGTGGCCCCTCTGTGAGGCATGTTCATTGTGTGAGCAAAGGTTTCCTCTGCATGCACAGACTTCTTCATCGTGCACTGTCCCCTCTGCTCGCCCTGCCCTTTCTGTTTGCCATGCCCTACCTGCTCACCATGTGTCTCGCATTCACAGTCCATCCATCCACGTATTCACCCATCTTCAATCACCTGCCACCACTCACACCACCTGTGCAGGAATCTAAGCCGCTCAAGCCTCACAGGCCCCATCCCTGATTCCTTCACCTCGCTCTCCGACCTGGTTTTCCTGTAAGCAACCAGACAGTAGACTCTCAGCGTCACACCTCTAATTTGTTGCTCTTGTAACGCATCAAGCAGTAAACTTCCAAAGGCTCGCCCCAGACCTCCTGTTTCTGTATGTCCCTAGGCACTGCTCGCACTGCACCGTTTTGGCAATCCCACGAGAAGCAATCAGCTTTCACAGGCATGTGGAGCCTGGATTCTCCTTAAGTGATGTATATTGTGGAATATGTGCGCAGCCTTGGATTGTTTCTTTTTGGTCATCATGCCATTGATTGTAGGGTGTAGGTTTATTACTCATGTATTATTATCATTTACTCGCTACACTACACCAGCACAGCACCCATGTTCATCATTCGTGCTAATCCTCCTATGCTGGTCTTTTCTGATCACCAGGAATCTAGGCTACACCAGAGTGGCTGGGTCAATGCCATCATACTATGGGTTGACAAACACCGCGTCAGCACCCATGTTCCCATTTGTACACCCACCCTCCCATCCCCCACACCACGGCTCTTCTTTAATCAATACTGCAGGGATCTCAGCTACACTGGTGTTGCTGGGTCCGTGCCATGGGGTATCAATAGCCTGGGGCAGCTGCAGGCCTTGTAAGACACTCTGAACCTGCCCTGATTCATTCAATATGCAATCTCCACGAAAAACTGATTGCTTCATCCAATAGAAGCCGGTACATGGATGATTAATATCTATAATCTATCTATGTGTTTCAGTTCAGATGTGACAGCTGTATCACCATGTGTAACAATAATGGCACAGCACTTGCCCCTGCTCTCACAACACCAAACTTTACCCACACATCCCCAACCTTACCCGCACACTCCCCAACTTACCCTCATACCTTCCATCCCACCACCAGGTACGGCACCCTCAGTATTTTCTGCAATGACAATGCCACCTGCCCTGCCGCACCTCCACCACCTGCCAGCCCGTTGCCCCCTCCTGCACCGCCAGCCAATCCCACGTCGCCAGCTGTCACAAACTCCACCTCCCCTGGGTCTGACAACTCGTCTACGCCCAACACCACCTGCCACGTGTGCCAGAGCTACTGCCTCGGCTGCTCCCCCTCTGCCCCCTGTGCGTCTCCTGCTGCTGCTGCTGCTGCTGCTGCTGCTGTTGTTGCTGCTGCTGCTGCTGCTGCTGCTGCTGCTGCTGCTGCTGCTTCTTCTGTCCCAACTTCACTGCTTCTCCCACCACACGCGTACTCTCACTCACTGTACCTCTCATTCCTTTTGATTTCCTGCCATCTTGCACACTCTCCCCTTACTTCGTCTCACACATTCTGGCCCCCCCTTCTCTTTCCTCATCCCGTTCCTTGTCTCTTCTGGATTCTTCAAAACATCTCTTTCGTCTCTCATCCACTCTCACAGCTCATGCCTTATCTCTCCCCCTTATAACCCAGCCTCTCCTCGCTTCTGCTACCACAAAAATCCGTAGCAGCAATAGTTGCGCACTCAGTGCGTTCCCTCATCACTCTCACCGCCCTCTCCCCGCTTGTTCTGTTCTCCCTCTTCATGCTTCAGCCTCCCCCCCTGCTTCCAGCAGTTCTCTTTCCCCAAGGGCCATAGCAGGCATAGTGGCGGCACTCATTGCACTCCTTGCTCTCATCGCCCTTGTCATCCTGCTCTGGTTCTGCTTCCGCCAAACCAAGCCTGGTAGGTGCATGCTGCGAAGTCTCACAAACGAAGGCGGCTTGCCAGCTGATGTCAGACGCTCAAGGATCTTTCCAGTCACCTCATCTCTGGCTTTGGTTCTGTTCTTCCCAACCAGGCAGGTCAACTGGCCTGTATGTATGAATGTTGTATGTATGTGTGTGTGTGTGTATGTATGTATGTATGTATGTATGTATGTATGTATGTATGTATGTATGTATGTATGTATGTATGTATGTATGTATGTATGTATGTATGTATGTATGTATGTATGTATGTATGTATGTATGTATGTATGTATTTTTGTCAATGGGGTCTGCGGCAGGGCACTATCTCCTCACCGCGGCAGTGGTAATATCTCCGCACTGAAAGAGACAAAGAAGGCCACCATCTTCAACATGTCTCTGCCTCCCTCTCTCTCCAACCAATTCTCCTCCACTTGTTTCCTTCCTCTGCTGATCAGCTTGCCTCACTCTAGCCTGCTACGTTCCCCGTATATTTGTTCTGCCTTCCCATCTCCCCCATCCCCAGCGTGCAAGCAGTACTCACTGGCAGACATCCACCAGGCCACCAACTTTTTCTCGGAGGTCAACCTGATCGGCTCGGGGGGCTTCAGCGACGTGTACAAGGGCGTGGACCCGAGCGACCCTGAGGTGCTGTGGGCTGTGAAGCGCGCCACAGTGCTCTCCAATGATTTCATGAACGAGGTAAGGCAAAGTACACTTGTGGGGTGGTGTGGGATGGTGTGGGCCATCAAGTGCGCCGTGGTGCTCTCTAACGACTTCATGCAGGAGGTTTGGAGCTGTGTGAGGCAATGTGGGGTGGCGTGTGGCATTTTGGAGCGATGTGGAGTGGTGTGTGGTGGTGTGGAGTGATGTGGGGTGGTGTGGAGTGGTATGGGCTGTCAAGCATGCCATGGCACTCTCCAACGAATTCATGTGAGAGATGCACAGAGGGGGAAGTTGTTGTTGAAGCCGCAGATGAGCAATGACATGAGCACTACATGAGCAATGACATGAGCATTACATGAGCAATGACATGAGCATTACATGAGCAATGGATTGGGTCGACCATTAGTCGAACCTGCCAAACTCGGGTGGACCAACCTGCTTTAGTCGAACCTGCCCAAACTTGGGTCGACTGACCTGCTTTTTTACTGACTATCACAAACGTAAATGCTATCAAGAGTGCCAACGTAAACACTATCAACATTGCCAACGTAAACTTTATCAACGGTGCAGCAGGACTGCAATAAAGTATAACTGACTTGTTTTTTGACAACTGACACATGCTGTTCCTGTGGAACGGCGGTTGTAATGAATGGATGGGTGCCAATGTTTATGCTATCAATGGTGCAGCAGGAGTGCCATTCAGTAGAAGTGAGTTGTTTTTTGGCAACTGACGCATGCTGTTCTGATGCCACGTGGTTCTCCTGGAAATTGGTGAGAACGTGCAGAACGTAGCAAAAAAAAGGGCCACCAACTTTGATGGCAGGCAGAAGCAGGGTGACGAGAAAACGGCCACATTGTGAACTTTGGTACCACGCAAGAGAACAAGTAACAAGAAAATAAACCCAAAATATTGTATTTTGAATCTTTTCATGCCCTGTAAACATTTGCAAAAGCACTGGCTGATACTTCAAGGGGTTGTTTTAGATATGTTGAAGCACCTTCCGACAGTAACCGTGCATTTCTGTAGGCAGAATAATAGTGTGATGGATGTGACATTGAAATGTGTTGGGCACAACGGAGTTGAGGGAGGAATCAAAGGCACTCTATGCATAGACATGTATGGAAGGTGCGGGCCAGTGTGGGCCATGAAAATGGTCGTTGATGCTCATCAGCAACTTGATGCATGATGTGAACTGAACGATGGTAGCTAGCAAGGAGAAGACAAACGAGAGGCAAGACACTGTGATCCTAAGGATCTTGAAGGGGCATCAGTTCGTTTTTGTGGGCTGTGAAGAGATATGGGAATGGAAAGAGAGGGGTGGAGGCGAAGAGAGAGGTGGGAGCGGTGGGAGAGGTGGGAAAAAGAGGGCCAAAGGAAGTAAGTCACTCGAAGAGCGGTGGTGAGGGATAGGTGGGAGTTTTGCTGTGTGTAGAAGAGTGTCAGTGCGTGGGCAATGAAGAGGTTGACATGACAATGTGGAGAAAACGTTTTAAAGACAATGAATCGAGGCTAGAAAGAGAGGGTTGAGTTGACATTCCAAAATGAAATAAAAGGTGAGAGTAGTGTTTTGCATCCTCGTGCATCTACCTGCCGCCACCTCGTTCGGTTTCATCCTCCGTTGTTTCCCTCACTCCGGTTTATCTTCTCATCACCTCTCAGCTGGCAGCCATGGCGTGGCTGCAGCACTCGTGATTACTACTCGCTCCCGCGCACACTGCGTGCCTTAATTTTGTCTTCCTGATCGCCCTCCCACGTTTGACTCCTCTCTCACCCCCCCCGCCCCTCCCCTCCCTCTTCCAGGTGGCAGCCATGGCACGACTCAAGCACCCATCACTGGTGCCACTGCTGGGGTACTGCATCGACTACAACGAGCAAGCACTGCAGATGGAGCAGATCATTGTGACTCAGTTCATGCCCAACGGGGACCTTGCGCACTGGACCGAGCCAGGTGAGCGTTGGGGCAGGTGAGGTTAGCCAAGCCCGTTCAGACCTTACCAACAGGGCTTTAATCGAGTCACATGGGGCTGTGCTGCAAGGAAGGCAGATGGACTCAGTTCATGGCCAACGGGAATCTTTGGCAATGGACCAAGCCAGATGAGCATGGTGCAAGCCATGCGAATGTAAAACCAAGCCTGCTGAGGCTACGCCAACAGTGTTTTGAATCGAATAACGTGGAGGGGTGCTTTAAACCAGGCACATGGAGCAGGTTCGTCGTGTCCCACTTCATGCCCAACAGGGAACTCTGACATGGACCAAGTCAGGTGCGATGTGGCCAACAGGGCTCCAAACGATCACTTGGGGAGAGGGGGCGAGGGGGAGAGGCGAGGGGGAAGAGAGGGGGGGTGTGAGCAGGACGATAGAGTAGATCATCGTTTCTCGGTTCAAGGGGGATTTCCCACACTGGAGCAGGTCAGGTGGGGCTAGTTAGGGCCGAGCTACCAAACAGAATCGAAGTAGCATTCAACAACAAATATATTCATAGAAATAATACAAAAAAACTATAACACTCCAAAACTGGAACTTGATCGAAACACCAAATCAAAACGCTGTTGCTTTATGGATTTCGACCTTGGCCGCATTAACTACATCACGCCAATGCAATTTGCACGATGCTCAGTCATATAGCAAAAGTTGGAAACATAGAATGAAGGCAAGAAGGGAAGAGCAGGAATTTAAATGAGACAAAAAACAATAACATAAAAGCAGAGAAAAAGACAAGTACAGAAAGGAACATGATACATTCAGTATATACTCTGTGCGAAGATGTATTTTATGGGGGACATGATACATTCAGTGAGAATGTACGAAGATGATTTTTATGGGGAAAGGGAAGTAGTAGAGGGTGGAAAAGGGGTGATGGAACGGGGGGGAGGTGGGGCACACAAGTGCGAGAAGAAGGTGGGAGAGGGAAAGGAGACAAGTGAGGGAGGGAGCACGTGGGTGGGTGATACAGGGAGGTCACAATGAGTTAATGAGCGAGGTAGCAAGTGAGTTTGTGAGGGGGGAGGGGTCGCGTGATTGGAGGAGGGTGGGAGCACGGGGTGGAGATAAATCGGGTGAACAAGGAGAGTGAAGGATGGCGAGAGAGATCAATTGGATGCACGACAAGTTAATTCTGGGCTACTGGGTACCTTAGTACGAGCAATTTGATGCACAGCAAGTACTGCTCGATTAAAACTCATACACGCATGTAATTTCCTTCCCTGTGCTCCCATTCGTACATGCCCTCATCTCCCAGCAGCCAAGCACCCAAACACATGTTCCCTCACACCCACTTCATTTCCCTATGCCTCCAACAAGCCTCCATGTTCGCACCTCCCAGAATCCAAGCCCATCTCACCCCACAAACCTTCTCTTGCTCTCTCCATTCCCCCATGCCCCCCACCCCCCCCACCCCCGGGCCAAGCCCATCTCAAACTCTCAGCCTGCTCATCTCCCCTTACCCCACCGCACCTTCCAGGAGCGAAGCCCATGACGTTGCGGCAGAGGCTGGCGGTGCTGGTGGATGTGGCGGATGGGCTGAGCTTCCTCCACAGCCGTCGGATCGTGCACCGCGATGTCAAGCCCGCCAACGTGCTGCTGGATGCCCACATGCGGGTGAGACATACATAAATGCATAAATACATACATAAATACATAAACGCGTCTGCTCTTGTATTGGAGGCACCTCAAGAACAGTGTATCCGCTCATGTATTCCTGTTTTGCATCCAGTTTTCTTTGTCCTGAAGGTGCTATTGTGCCCCGTTCTTTGATCAGATTTCAACCATTTTCTCACCCTTTGATCTCTCCTCCCCTCTCTTGCGATGCCACATACCTTGTGTGTTTCACCCTTGCAGCCAAAGTTTGAAGATTTTGGGTTGACCCATCTCCTCCTCCCTCTCCCCCACAAGGGTGGCGGATTTTGGGCTCACGCAAATTTCTTTAAAACACACACTATTACACAACGCAGCTCCTCATCCCTCTCCCCAGACCAACACCCCCACAGGCGCAGCTTGCGGAGTCTGAATTTATGTGGCGACCCAGGTGAACCCTTTTTTACAACTTGAGGTACCAAACCTGGTCAACTTATCCTGCCTGTTCTCGGTCTCTCTCCATCGCCATGCCTTGCATTATTTCAGGCGAAGGTGGCGGATTTTGGGTTCATGCGGAAGATGGAGGCAAGCCAGGTGCAAACCACCAGGGTGATGGGCACCCCGGGCTATGAGGACCCCGAATACCTCCAGACCCGCCTCGCCACCACCGCTACCGATGTGTACAGGTGAGCAGTTAGTTTCTTGGCATCTGCGTCGGGTGGAGGACTGCATGCAAAAGCTCATTCGCGTGCGTCCGAGCATTTTCAGCTTTGAACTAGCATAATGATTTGTGTTGAGCACCACTCTTCTCTCTTCTCTCCTCTATCCTCTCTGCTCTCTGCTCTTTCCTGAACGAATGCCCTTCTCCCTTTTCAGTTTTGGGGTGCTGTTGCTGGAGATCCTGACGGGCAAGGAGCCCATCCTCTCCGTAGATTGCTCGCAGTCCCACATTCGGGAATGGGTGAGTCATTCTTTTTATTCATGAGCCACGACAAGCCCACTCGCGAAATTCTCTCTCAATCCGTCGATGCCTCACACTCACTCACTCGGGATGGGTGTCGTCGATCTCCCCCTTTGGCATCCCGAAATCCAATCGCATCGGCTCAAAACTACCTCCCTCCGTTTTCCTGTCGTACAGGTGGCTGCAGAGCTCTCCAGTGGTGACGTCAGCTCTATCATAGACCCTCGGATGGTCTCCCCTGCAGCGTCTGGTGCTAGCATGGTGCATGCTGACGTCATGAAGAGTTTGGCATCCTTGGCGATGGAATGCTCTGCCATGCCGGCTGCCTCACGCCCCTCCATGGCCAAAGTGCTCTCACAGCTGAAGCAGCTGCACGAGGAGGTGGTGAGGCGGGAGGGGGAGAGCGGATTGCAGCAAGGGAGTGGGCTGGGGGGGCTGGGAACGGGGGGAGCGAGTTGGTTGGTGAGGGAGAACCGTGTGAGCCCTGCACCTGAGTCTGCAGTAAGGAGTGTGAGTGCGGTGAGGGGAACGACGGATGACGAAGGCAGTCCTGAAGAGGATGAGAGCTTGACTGTTGGTGAGGTGACAAGTGGGGAAGCAAGTAGGAGCATGGGTGATGACCACAACTGAATGGAGCACATTAAAGCTAATATGGTACAATGTGTATAAATACCATATGTATGTTGGAAATGCAAAGCTTTTATGTGGATCGAAGCTGATTTTGAATGGGTATTTGCACTAAAGCTAGATAGTTCCCACAATACGGGGATGTGTCTAAAAAGGAGTCGCAAATGAGAAAAAAATGAGTTCGTAGATTCCATAATTGTTGATTTCTATTGCCCCTAGAGAATCTGTTTTATTGTGCATCCACAACCCTAATTGATTGAAGCGCTTTGTTGCTTGCTCAGGTGCGTCCACTACTGTCACGCCCCTCTCCTTCACTCTTCGGTGCCTCCCATTGCTTCTTTTGCAACCACACCACCCTTTCACTACTACCAGCTCCTATCGCAATCTCCCTAACCAACCCCGCATCTGGACCGGTCGTCGCACAGAGGGCTTTTTTGCACTCCCATGTCCAACACTCCCCTCCAAATTCCTCACGAGTCTACTCATCTCCTCGCTCTCCAGGAACTTAGTGGGTGCCAGTCGTCATCAAGACCTCGATGTCACCACCACGTTAACAGCACGAAGATTTATCATTTCATAACGAGAAGGCCCAACGATTTCGCCAGAGTTTTTAGCACTTGATTAAAGGAGCGCAACACCGATGTGAAGTGACATCGCAATACTTTCTCCGGAGTTTTTGCGGTACGAGAGATTTCGACGGAAGCAACTGCAGCAGTGGAGGCGCGAGAGATAGCTACTTTTTTCCATCTCTGCCCAGAAGCCCTCGACAAGCTACCACAAAATGCTCAGCGAATATAGACAAAACGGCTAGCTATGCTGACGCCATTTGACTATTAAGAACAAGCTGAATACATTGACAGAAGCAACATGCCAGGGGATTTAAGGACACAATAACTCCAACCCTTCTAGCAACAAAGTATCAACTCGCCTACGCCTACGACAAATAACACTACATTCGCCTGTGAAATGCCGCCACCTGAAGCTGCTAAAGACACTGCCAGTTCTTTCATGGTGTGCCAACAAAGAAGTACAAAATTTTGGAGATAATTTACCACGGTTTCTGGAAGTTTTTTGGGGTTTGTGTGGAGAGTCACTGTACACCGGGAGCTGGACTACTGGGGAAAGTACGGGTGGTACAAGTGATCGTAGCGTTCCTTAGCGTTCTCTAGCACTTGTGCATTCACGGTGAAAATTGGCAAGAGTTTCACCAACAAAAGTTGAGAACAATCGTGAACAATAGTAGCAATGGCAAATGCAATAATGGCTTCATCAGAGCATAGCAACCTAGCCAGCGCATTAAAGTCAGCGACCTAACATCACTGCAAGTTCGCATCGCTCCAGTGCTGCAGAGCAGCGGCTTGTCAACACTGTAGTAAGGAGGCTTACCAGCGTTGCAACCGTAGATGACTATAGCGCATGTGCGCACCTACTTTGTAGGTGTGCGGCGATGGTTGAGCACATTGTGCACCGTCACGCAGGTGCCAAGTCGGCTATGTGCCGTTACTTGCGCCTGATGAGCCACCTCGACCTTGGGATACCAGCCCAAGGTCGGCTCCGCCAGAACCTCCTCGGCGACGGTCGCACACCCCGCAGAACCTCGTCGCCCTAGTTACTTGGTTGACGGGGAAACCACCAAGTCGGCAAGAACATGGGCGGTAAGAGCCCGCCAGTTGCTATACGTGCTCGTCGAACAATGCAAGTCAACGCCACCCGCCGACTTTACCAAGTCGGCCACTCTGCAGGTCGCCTGTCAAAATACTTAGGGTTACGTCTAATAAATACAGACAGAGGGTGTATGTGAGGAGGTTGGGGGAGAAGTGTACATTTGTATATAATCGGAGCACTCGGCAGAGGAGGTTCGGAAAGGCAGTGGTGGAGCAGTTCCGGTAACTCGCCGATGTGACAACACCAGCGGAAGATTGGTGTTGGGGGGCGAACTGACCCGGAAGGGGGAATGGTAACATGGTTGGCAGCAAGATGATGTGGGAGGGTGCGTACGAGTACTCTTTGTGTGGTATGCATACGAATGTTTCTTTCCCTGCTTGCAGATGTTATGTGATGCCATCATTCGCATTCACGTCTGTCTGCCTCCCATCATATGTTTGTGCGTTGCATGCGTGGTGTGAGCGTGTGCAAGAAATTTGTGTTTCCTGTGATTTGGATTTTCGGAGTGTGTGTGAATGTTATTTGGCTTGAGCTGATATATGAAGTGATTCCTCTGCTCAAGAGCTTTCCGACGAACCAAGAATCGTCGCGATCGGAGCACGATCAAGAAAGTTACGAACATTGAAGTTCGTATGCTTTTGATATTTGGTTGTGGCGACTATGGGAAGTTGTGAGGTTGACTCAATGTGGGGTACAGACTTTTGGGGTTGGGAAATTCGAACCCATCACTGTAGATTGCTGCCATGTGGTTGGGAGAGCCAAACCAGGTTGGCAAGTGTGGCCAAGTTGGGTTGAGGTGGATTGTGGAGGTTGGGATAGTGACAAAGGTCAAAGTTGGGTTGCCTATGGGGAAGGGAATTGTGTGGTATGGGGTTTCCTTGGTTGGGGACTCCCTTGGGACCTTCCCTCTCGTCCTCCTCTTCCCTCCTACCTGGTTTAGTGCTACTCTAACTCTCTTGTGTGTAACTTGTGAAACTTGTGAAACTATTGTGATAGAGCTAAAATTTCTGTGGCAGCATACCCCCTAGTGCGCCGAAAATAATATCTCGCGAAATACTCCACCTTTTCATGTGATTCAAATTGGGAATTGTAGACCAAGTCTAGTGCTACAATATACTCGGGTTTCGCGAGATTCCAACCGTGAAATTTTCGTCGACGCCGTTTCTTGTGAAGTCGCGGTTTCTGTCCAGAATTCTAAGTCAACGATTTTGTAATATTTCGGCACCTAATCTTCATAGACTCCGTCCTTAGTCTCTAACAGCAGATACCGAGTCCAGGAAAGCTGGAAGACATTGCCGTCAGCTGGCAAGAGGCAGAGTGGGAAGAGGGGTGGCAAGCTAGGTTGCTAGCAGTAGCAAGTAGTTGTTTGTCTGTTAGCATTGCCTAGCTAGGGTTGATGTTGGGAAGCACAAAGGAGGCCCCTGGGCTATGGGATTGCCACTGCGTGTTTGTTTTCGTGAATTACTGAAATTTCTTTCCCAAAGATAAGCAGTGCGCAGTGAAGCCATAGCCGCAATTAGAATGAGTTAGGAAGGGTCAGAACGAGGAGCTGGGCGTCCTTACGTGGCAACAAATCGCACAGATGCCGGCGCCGACAAACGGAGATGGGGACACAGAGGTGGACCTGAAGCCGTTGTGCTTGAACACAAAAAAGCTACTAGGGCCGATGGTCGTGCTGGAGCTTTTTGGAGGAATAGGCACGGGCCTGGCGGCAGTGTTGATGTCAGGAGCACATGTACAGAGTGGATCTTGGTGGAAAGTGACATGGAGGCGGTGAAGATGGCATGGTGTCACGCAGAAAAGCTGCAGAAGCGGTATCCCTATCAGTTCAGTGAGATTTTGATGGAGGTGAGCTCACTGTGTGGGACCTGTGACATACGCCGAATCAACGAGAGCTGTGTCAAGGGATGGGGGAAGATTGACATAGTGAGGGCAGGATGGGAGCAGGAGCAGGCCGGGGCATGAGCGATGAAAGGAGTAGCCTGTCCCGGGAGCTCGTGCGGGTGCTGAAGCTTATAAAGTGAGTGCAAGGGGATGTCTTGTACGTAGTAGAGAATGTGGAGATGGAGGGGGATGTTAGAGAGCAGTGCAAGTGGCCTACGAGGAAATCACGGTGGTTCTGGGGCCGGCTGCTATAGTGGATGGGGCGCAAGCCGGAAGCAGGACTCACCGGGTTCGCAGGTACTGGACGAATGGAGTCAGCGAGGCGGTCTTACAATACCGCCTGTCACTAATGGAGAGGCCAGTGCCACTGTTGGTCGAGGGCATACTTGAGCCGGGAAGGATGCCAGCACTGGTGACTCAGCCCAATCACCGATGCAGTTCCCATGTAATAAAGTGGGGAAGCCGAGGTAGGCATGGCCAACGTTTGTCTCATATAAATAAACAGTGGCGTTCAAGATGAACAACAGCACGCCTGGACCGGGCATGGTGTATGATTGCTGCGCAGGCGAGTGCAGGAGCCGACGACAATGGAGAGGGAGCTGGCGATGGGGTTCATGGAGGACGCAGTGGCACATCCAGAGGTGACAGAGACCGAGAGGAGGAAAGCCTTGGGAAGGGCCATGGATCTCAACGTCATGCAACGGCTGGTGGCAACCATCCGCATGTATCACTCGCAGCTGCGGTGGGAGCGAAAGAACGATAAAGCCGCAGCGGTTAAACACCCGACAGAGAGGTCCGCAGCGAAGGAAGCGTTGGTGCGGGCGATGCTGAGAGAGATGCAAGAGAACGATGACCTGCAACACTAGCGGGGGCATCCAATGGAGCGGAGGTGGGTATACCCTTGGGAGAAAGAAGAAGAAGCGCGAGCACAGTACGCAGAGCAGGCGGAGATTCGTCTGCCAGGGGACAGGGAGGAGGAGGCGGTGGACAAAAAGCGCGAAGAATACAGCTGGTTGTATGAGGAGATGGATCGTAGGAGAAGAAGGGAGAGTTACGAACAAGAGTTTGGGTCGTCGGAGTTCGTGTTAATGGCGGCGACAAAGGAGGAGGACAGGGTGGAGGCAGGGACTTCGGACAACGCAAGCAGCAGGACAACGCAATCAGCAGGACAACACCACCAGGGATAGGAGGGGCTGACAGCGCACGACAACCATAGGGGGAGAAGGGGCTCGACCAGGATCATGTGGCGAGGAAAGAGTGGGAGGTGGGAGACGGAATGACACAGAAAGGTGCCGCAGAGCTAAAGAAGGTGCTGACCAAATACAGGCCAGCCTTTGCTTACACGTTGAAGGATGTGGGAAGGTGCAACATGGCGGAAGTCACCATCGAGCTAACTAGAGAAATACCACTGTACCAGCGGAGGCGGAGGATTACCGCGGAAGAGATCAAGATTT